GGTGCCGGTGCTGGCGCTGCTGGGGCTGTACCTGGGCCCCGCGGCCGCCGCCACTCCCCTGGTGATCTGGCACGGCATGGGTGAGCCGGGACCCTCCGCCAACGGCCGCGGGGGCGGCGGGGCTTGGCTGGGGACCGAGCAGGACCGAGGGACTCTCGCTAGCTCCCGGTGCCGTGTCAGCGGGGCTCGCGGTGTGTTTGTGGAGGCGAGGTGAGGGCCGCGGCCGTGGCGTGGTTGTGCATCCCCGTGTTCCCTCCCGCAGGAGACAGCTGCTGCAACCCGGTGAGCATGGGCTACATCCAAAAACTGGTGGAGAAAAAAATCCCGGGGATTTACGTCCTGTCGCTGAAGATTGGGAGCAACATGATCCAGGTAAATCGGGTGTCACTCTCGGGTGTCTGCGTGCAGGGGTGGGGCTGGAGTTACTGCACTCCGTGGTTTTAACAGGATTCCACAAGGATTCCTGCTGTGCTTTCCCTGCTAATTTTCTCTTCTCAGTGAGGTAAACAGCTTTGACAGGTGGAGCCCGATAAAATCCAGCTAATACCTGCAGAAAAGCACTGGGGGAAAACAAATCTCTGACCTAAATTGGATTAATATGCAAATCCACTGATTAGCACACTCGAAGCACTGCAGGTAATACTGATGCTGTGCTGGGGCAGAGCTTTATCCCTGGCCATGCTTCTTGATTTGCAAACATTTATTTACTTCAGTGTAATAAATTACACCCTTCTGCACCTTCGTGGGTTTTGACAGATTTTTTTGTAGTCCTGTGGAATTTCTTTAAATCATTCCTCAGGGCAATGCTCAGTGTAGGTGGTTTTCTGGGTTCTGGAGACATTTGGGTTTTAATTTTTATGTATAAATGAATAAAATGTGAAGAGATTCAAGTTGTGAAGAAGTTTGGAGAAATGTCTCTGCCCCATATGAGCCAGTTTTGCCAACCAGGGCAGGACGTGGTAAAGGGAAGTCTCAGAACTGGAATTTCACTTCTGCCCCTGGGATAGCTCAGGTCCTCTTTCAAAGCCACAAATGTCAGTGCTGTTTGCAGAGCTGAAAACATCACCAGCCATGGCAAAGGTACAGATGATCCATCCTAATCTGATCCCTCAGGATATGGAGAACAGCTTCTTCATGAACGTCAACGATCAGGTGAGGGAGGTGTGCAGCCAGCTGGCCACGGACCCTCGGCTCCAGGGAGGCTACAACGCCATGGGCTTCTCCCAGGGAGGCCAATTCCTGTAAGTCTGCACTCCAGGGGCTCCTGCTGGGTTCAGCTGCTCGTTTAAGACCCTTCAGAAGCGCTCAGCAGACAAACTGCTGAATTCCTAAAGGCAGGAATGCTCCAAAGGGGGCAGGTTGTGATTTCTTGCAGCCCTGCTCTTGCAGGCAGGGTTAAATCCCTTGGCAAACGTTGCACAAGTGCCCAAACCCACGCAGAACCCTCAGCTGTGGCCTGGGCAAGCTTTCAGCTCCTTCCTCTTCCCCCACAGGAGGGCTGTGGCCCAGAGGTGCCCTGTTCCTCCCATGCTCAACCTCATCTCCGTCGGGGGACAGCACCAAGGTAGTGTCCCCTGCAGCTGTCACAGCTCCTGGACACCTTTTGGGGCTCTTTTCTGAGCTCTGATCACTTTCTTATGGATTAAATTGTCCCTTTGCCCTTTTCTGGACCTGCTGATCTGTTTGGCCTAATTAATGTCTGCCGATTTCATTATCTTGATCTTGCTTAACTGACAGTGGAAAGGGACCTCTGTCAGGAGCTGCCTTCACTGCCTGGGTAGGATTCTTACACACCTTGGGACTTTTGGGATGATTTATTCTGTGGGAAATCTCTAGATTGGTGAAACTGAACCTTCAGGGTATTTTACAATCAGCACCTGGGAGGTCAGAGCCCCAAGGAGAGGGAGGTATGAAGTGGAATTAAGGACGTGTGCAGTTAGGAGTGGCTGGCAGTGAATTTCAGATACCTGAGAACTCCCCAGCTCCTGGAGCGTGTTTCTTTGTAGTGGAGAGGGAAGATTTGTAGGGAGCACCCAGCACATCCCTTCTCTCTGCCCCAGCTCCCAAGGCAGGAGGGCTGGCCGAGGAGCTTGCCTGGGTAACTCCTGCTGCTGTGCAAGAGGTGGTTCTGGTGCAGCAGGAGGGCTCCAGGGGTCCCAGTTTGGCTGACTGAGCTGTGTCCCTGCCCCAGGGGTGTATGGCTTCCCACGCTGTCCCGGGGAGAGCTCCCACGTCTGCGACTGGATCCGCAAAACCCTGGACCTGGGAGCCTACACGAAGGCAGTGCAGGAGCAGTGAGTACCTGCCCCAGGCCAGGCCACGGGAGCAGCTCTGGCATTCCACCTGAGCCTTGGTTTCTCCCCTCTCCAGCTTGGTCCAAGCAGAGTATTGGCACGACCCCCTGAAGGAGGAGGACTACAGGAAGAACAGCATCTTTCTGGCTGACATCAATCAGGAGAGGGTAAGGACAGCGGTGACCTGAGAGCAGAAGCCTGGGAGGGTTCAGGTGGAAGAGCAGGCACTTTCCCTGGCTCTGGGTTCTGCAGGGGCTTGGATGTGTTCTCCTGCTTCCATCCAGGGCATCAACCAGACCTACAAGAAAAACCTGATGGCTCTGAAGAAGTTTGTGATGGTGAAATTCCTCAACGATACCATGGTGGACCCTCCGATCTCTGAGGTGAGGAAGGCAGGGTGGGTTTGGGGGCTTCCTTGTCTCTGGTTTGTCCTTTGGAGGTTGCAGAGGGGCAGGCTGGGCACAAACAGCTCCAGGAGCTGCTGGAAGCCTGCTGGAAGCCTCCTTCATTTTTTTAATCCGTTTTTATGCAGTGGTTTGGGTTTTACAAAAGTGGCCAAGCCAAGGAGACCATCCCACTGCAGGAGACCTCGCTGTACAAAGAGGTGAGCTCTGGGGGACGGGGGCTTCTGCTGTGTCCCCTCTTCACTGTCCCTGGGGCCCCCCCAGCTCTGCTCTTGTCACTCCCCCTGCCAGGAGCTGTTTGTTTGGGGAGACATTTCCCTCCAGCCATTCCTGGTGAAACTCAGGGAATGGCACTGGTGGCTCCTGCCTGGCTCAGGATCCCCCTCAAATCCCTTTTCCCCCCTCCACGAGGGGAGCAGAGGTGGAACCTCCCCCTTTTCTCGGCAGGATCGCCTGGGGCTGCAGGAGATGGACAAAGCAGGGAAGTTGGTGTTCCTGGGGGTGAAGGGGGACCACCTGCACTTCTCAGAAGAGTGGTTTGACAGCACCATCCTCCCTTTCCTGCAGTGAAGCTGCTCTGGGAGCACTGGGGCAGGGTTTTTCACCGTAACTAACACCAGCCACTGTGCAACAGCTCTTGGTGCAGCCAAACCTGCAGGGATTTGGGGAAGGGGAACAAGAGGGGGAGGTTTAGCTCAGCAGGGGTTGCCAGGATTCCACTCCCACCTGGGCTGATTGCTCTGGCTCTGACACACTCCAGGGCCTGGTAAATCCACCTCAGTTCTCAGAGCTGTGTCCTCAATCCCCTGTTCCTGCAGGACACACTGGCAGTATTAACCCAACTCAGTAGGGATCAGCAAAGCTCTCATGGCTGTGTGCAGGGGAATGTTACAGCCCATCCTTCAAGATGGGGGAAAAAGGCCAAATTTAGGGGTTTATGGGAAAAAGAGAGAAAAAAAAAAAAAGAGGGTTTGGAATTCAGCAGTATTAACAGCTTGAACAGTTTTCAACTAATGGCTTGGTTTCTGTTCTTTTGTACAAATGAAATTAATAAAGAACTTTCCATCTAACTAACTGAAAAAGAAGTTTGGACAGCTACTGACTGTGTTTGGAGGGGAGCTGAGGAAAATCTCAGGCAGAGAGGGGCACCCTGTCCTACCTGAGCTCCCAAAAAAGAGACAAGAGCCACAGGAATGAGCAAGTTGGCATTAACTTTATTCTATCTTCTGTATAATCTTAAGTACATAAGAAAGGTTTTTTTCACAAGCCTCAGGAGAAGACAAGTACAAGTCACAGGACAGTTTCAAAATAAAAAAAAAATAATTTTTTTTTGCATAATTATTTTTTTTTTTTAAGTTTTGTACTAGAGAAAAAGAACATTGACACTTTACAGAAGAAATGCATTTAAGATATGCTTATACCACCCGAGGCCTTGGAAAAATGAAGGTCAAAGCACGTGCAGCTCCCTTTTATGGGTCAGTACAGTACTGTGTGATCCATCACTCTGCTCCAGGGCCCTGGAACAGAGGCTGTGAGCTTCCACCAAAATAAAGAGCCAAGCAACAGGGGGGGAAAAAAAGGGGAGGATTCAGTGGGGGCTGATTGCAGATGAGGAAGAGAGTGATGAACCCACTTGATCCAAGTCGGGTATTTACAACTCTGCACTGCTGCCCTGGAATGGAGGAGGCCCTTCCTCTGGGGAAGGGGACAGGTTCAGAAGAACCATCCTGGAAGACTGAACCTGAGTTCAGCTGCTCCAAGAAGGAAGCAAAGGTTCCCTTGTGGAGGTGGAGAGCTGATGGAATGAGAGGTGCTCAGCTCCAGGCTGCTGGGTGGCTGTGGTGACAGCGCCGCAGCCTTCCCGTGGCACTGGGCAATGAAAGCCTCCTGTCATGGCACAATCAGGAATGCACTGAGCTACTGGGAATGATGGAAGAGGAAATCAGGGTGGAATCGGCCCAGGTCCTCAGCCTTTGGTCCGACAAAACCGTTTCCACGTGCTGTGATGCCACCAAGTGCTCCGGAGAGCTGGAATGAGCAGCTGCCAGGACCTTCCCAAGACACCTGCCCCAGCAGCTGGGTACTGCGGGCTCCGACAGACACCGGTGCTCGTTCAAAAGGGGACAACACTCCTCTCACATGAACAGTTTTGCTTAAAGGCAATACAAAAACAACACTCTGAAAGCCAACTGCCAGGACTGGCTGTGAAAGTTCACTGAGACTCTTGATCGATTGGTGCGGTTAGATGGGACAAAGGGAGAGAGAAATACACCTTCCTGCTGAGAGAGGTGGACAATCACTGACCCACCACCTACCCCAAGCCCCAGGCAGAGGAATCTCAGTGATGGCAGGCAGCTGTGTCTCTTGGGTAGAAGAGAAGCAGTTTGAGAGCAGAAAGGTACAAGAAATCTAAGAGAATCATCTGAAAGCAGATTTGTCCCACAGCAGGGCCAGGGGAGGGTGTGAGCCTTGGAGCTTTTCGGCTTAGCCAGCAATTTCTGTCACAGTGGTAACCAACTTCTGACCGTTCCACACTGTCTTGAACTGTTCTGGGACAGGAAATTCAGTCTGGAGGGTAAAAACAGAAATCTGTTGTCAAAAATCCGTTTATGACTGAGGTTAGTGACCACTCCCATCGCTTCAGGTATTTCTTTTGTCAGCTTTGTGCTCTGTTACCTCCTGTACCACCACTGGTGCCTGTCCTGCCCCCAAGAGATCCTGAGGAAGGAGCAGCCCCCACAAATCAGGAATAATCTTATACCTCCAAACTCTACAAACTGTCCCCCACTGTAACCAACACCCCCTGCAAGGCTCAAAAGAGATCTCCTGCATCCCCCAGCCCCACTGTGGGAGCTGCAGGAGGATTCCAAAGCAGCACTTACAAAGTCTCCCCCCTCGCTGGGGATGAGGACGTTCATCTCCGAGGACTTGGCACTGACGATCTCGCAGTCGAGGGAGCTCTTGCTCAGGTACACGTGGCACCCATCTGTCTTGTTGATGGAAATTGTTGGCACTTTACCCATGACCTGGCAGGGCCAGAGCAGAATTAGCTCAAACTGCACAACCACAGCATTTTTGGGTGTGTTTTCTTTCAAGGTTTGACTCCAAGCCCTTCCCGTGACGATCGCACGGGATTTAAATATTCCCAACTTTAGCAAAAAAAGAAGTTTTTTGCTTGCATTTTCCCCCAGTTTCTTGTTCTGATCTCTTTAGAACACAGCTTGAGCCAGCACTGGGCAAACTGAGCATCCCAAATCAGACACCAAACTGATCTGGAATAAATCCTACTGCTGGCCTCCTGCTTTGTGCCTTCTTCCTCACAGAGCCTCAGCTCTTACCCCAAGCCCTGAAACAGCTCCAAAGACACAAATTTCAGCCCTTTCCCAAGGGACAGATGGTGTTTCATGGATATTCTTCACATCTGCACATTCCAGGTGTGGAAATACAACTGCTCCACAGCCAGGAGAGGGAACAGCTCACTCACCTGAACTTTAACATCCCTGCTGTTGATGATCTCCACAATGCCCACCACGTCATCAAACACCAGACCCAGCTTCTTGCAGTTATCTGCAAAGAAAAAGCAGATCAGGGCACCAGGATTTTGGAGGCTTCAGCTCCTGCACACACACACACACACACACACACAGAGGCAGCTGTCAGGGCTCTCCCCACTCACCCAGGGTGATGGAGTTGATCTTGCCTTTGATTTGGAGTGTACTGTTTGTGCACTTGAAAACATATGCTACCTGCTTCAGCTCTGTGTCACTGATCACCAGGTTAGTGGCATTCTCCTGGTTTTCCTGAGAAGGAAGGGGAAACACACTTCATTTTCTGAATGCAGAGCCACAAAGCCATGAAAATCCCTTTAAAAACAAACAGGTGCCTTCAGGCTGGTGCCTCTTAGGTCTCCAGAAGAGCCCCTTTTGCTTCTCCAAAGCTCCCATCCCTCCAACCCACTCCTGCCAGCACCAGGCACTCACCACTCTCCACTTTTTGCCTTCTAATTCTAGCAAGGGAGGAGCCTTCGGGGAGGCGCCTTGGGAGGGATTAGCATTACAGGCTGGTTTGGGAGCAGTGAAAGGTTTGGGGCCGCTCCTCACGGGGCCCCCTTGGTTCTTCAGGGCTGGATTCTTGTGGGTTTTCATCTCATCTGAGACGTGCCTTAAGCCTGCAAGGGAAGGCAAACCTGAGACTCGGCTCCCCTGCAGGAACGCAGCTCCACAAGCACCAGGCATCAGCGGTTCCACCCATCAACACTTGTCAAAACACAAATAAACTGAGACTGGGGCTAAGCTGAGCCAAGTGGGAGCGACAGGAAGGGAAGGAGGAAGCAGGAAATGCTGGTGCAATATTGACAAGGACACAGATCACAGATGCAGAGTGTGCCAGCTCTTCCATTCTGCAGCTGGAAAAAGCCCCGAGCCCAGCACCTCCTTGTCCTGATGTGCTCACCAGGTGACACAAAAAAAAGGGGAAGATTTTGTGCAAACAACAGCTGCAAAACTGCATTTTTTGTACCAGAAACACGCAGGCAACCAAAGGGCTCAGCCTTGGCTGTTTACATCTAGAGGTCCATGTCTTGTTCCACCTGGCAGCTGAGGGTGCCAATCCTCCCCCAGCAGCGCTCACTTGGTCCCTGGGAAAGCGCTGCCCCTGGCTGCCAGCCCCAAAATGGGTTTTTATGTCTTTTTTAAGGAGGTGCATTGAGGGACAGCAGGGAAACCACAAGGAGCAGGGGCAGAGCAGTTCCCTCCCTCCCCGTGCCCCCCACGTACCCGAGGTGATCCCTTCTCCCCGGTTGATCTGGGCGAAGAGCGCCGAGCGCGAGGCCGAGTCGTCGGTGCCGGAGCTGACGGGGGCAGGAGGAGGGGGAGGCCCTGGAGGTGGGGGTGCAACCCCAGCCGGGGGGGCAGGCGGTGCTTTAGCCCCTGCTGTGGCCACAGGACCCTGGAAGAGCAGGGAAGAGGAGAGGCAGTGGCACCCCAGCTCCGTTTCTGGCGCGGTGACCCGGCCGGGCGCGCCCCGGAGCCAGCACTCACTGTTTTGCTCCAGGTCAGCCCCGTGGTGTGGAACTCTTTGATGTAAGCCTGCAGCTCTGTCCAGATGCTCAGATAAGCTTTCACCCAGTCCACTTGTTTTTTATCTCTGAGAACACAAGGAGATGAGAGAAGGAGGAATGAAAGGCTGAGGAAAGCAGAGGTGGGCAGATGCTGGAGCAGCCCTTGCACACCCAGCTGACCAAATTCAACAACATCCCAAAGGGAAAAGATGAACTTACACATCCTTGTACTCCTTGAGGATCCGGTTGGTGTAAAACATGGCAGCATCAGTCATTTCCTTCACGTAAGGACCAGGCTTTGGAGCCTAGAACAGAAAGAACACGCTAGTGTAGGAGTCTAGAAATGCAGGGACATTTCTCTGTCTATATAATTCTTTAAAAAAATACATCAATCATATATAATATTGATAAAAAGGCTTCCAAATATCCCTGAGCAAGTCAGAGTTTGTAAGAAATAAAATAGAAAGTAGAAAAATGTTTCTTTTAACACAGAGGTGAAAGTATAGATTTTAAGAGGGTTCCACACGTGGAGTAAGATTTTAAGAGGGTTCCACACGTGGAGTAAAGATGGAGGAAAAAGGGTGTAGTTTTTAATCCTTCTTCTTCCTTCTTCTCCATGCTTCTGCAGTTTATAGAAGCACAAAATATGATTGGTTTAGAGTTAGTTGCACTTTTAATTACGTGAGTAATTAAATTACGTGATTTAATTACGTGAGTAGATACAGAAAAATTATTTGTTGAGATATAATAACAATACACTTGTCTGTAGTTAATGGGGTAAAAATTGGTATAAAGGTGAAAAGAACACGTGGTTTGGGGCCATTTTGTATCATTAGAACGAGATGAGCCAGGCTGTGGTGATTTAAGCTTGTGCAGCCAGTCTGGATAGATCTGCCAGGTTTTGTAAATATCCTTCAATAAACACCAGAAACCAGAATCTGATGAGGGAGTTTTTATCAGATAATAAGGACTGAGATAAGTGGGACTCCCCATGAGGGAGGATCCCAAGGGAATTCAGCCCAAAGGAGGCTGAGAGACTAGAGAAAAATTATATCCACAGAAAATCCAGCCCAAAGGAGGCTGAGAGACTAGAGAAAAGTTATATCCACAGAAAATTCAGCCCAAAGGAGGCTGAGAGACTAGAGAAAAGTTATATCCACAGAAAATTCAGCCCAAAGGAGGCAAGGAGAGAGAAGTAACAGCTAGAACTGAGGAGGAGCCAGACTTCTGCCCAAGGAAAACCCCTTCCCACTGCAGTCCTTACCATGGCCACCCAGCCCAGGGCTGGGATGCTCTCGCTGACTGCTGATAAGTGATTGAACAGTTTGCTACCACGGTTCTTCTCCCTGAAATTCTGCACGGCCTGGATCTGCTCCGAGATGGGCTTGAGGAGATCCGAGAAGGCGTTCTGCACAACGACAGCGACAATTAATTAAGATTAATTAGCACGGCTCTGGAATGGCTGCACAGCCGAGGTGATGGTGATTCAGAACAAGATTCCAGCTGGCAGCAGTGACTGCTGCAGCTCCTGGCCAGGCCTGGTCCCACAGCCCAGCTCCTCCAGGGCTGAAGTCACTGCTCCCATCGGATCGGCGCTGTGGGAGAACGCCAAGAACTGTGACTCATGTTCAATCCAGGAGACACTGACAAAGCTTGTTAGTAACCAGGACAGAAATAGCTTTTGCCTTTCCTGGGTTCTTTTGTTTCAACACAGTTTGTTACATTTTCCCTCTCTTTCCCCAACCCTCGGAGAAAAGGGTGCTGGGCAGGTTTGGCAGCTACAGCCTGCCCCACAACCAGAGTCCCAGCAAATTCAAGTGTCACCCCCATCAAACCAGACTTCAGGATTCCTCTGTTGTTTCTCAAGTCAATCCTTTAGTATTTGGATGGTAAAAATTTGTTCCTGTGTGCTGTTCCCTTGGAATGCTGCCTGGAAGTGCCAGAAGTGCTCTGGGGTCAGAGCACAGCAAAGAGCCAGTTCCACATTTCCAGAGAAAGCCTCCAAGGAAACTTTTCCTTCCTTCAGCATCAGAAAATCTCCTGCTGGTGGCAGCAGAGAGGGACAAATTTGGGCAAAACTTGCTTTCCAAAGCCTCAGCTTCTGCTTTTGCTGCCCTTTCCTCTGTTTAGATGAAAACTGAGAGGTCCCAAGCACCGCTGGCCAGGCCACACTTCCAGAAGCTCCAGCCCAGCAGCACATTCCAGTCACAGGATGGGGAAATTCTTCTGCACAAGCACTGAGAGTTCACACATTCTGCATTTTAAACTGCCTGCTCCAGAATTAGACTCCTGCCAGACAACCTGCACAAAGAGCTAGCCTAGATTAAGGCTGTTCTTTGTTCATAATCCTTTATTTAAATAACGTGTCCGTGGGATTTGTAAGCAGGTTCTCAGGCTAGAGGCTGCACAGAGCTGCATCCCAGCAAGGCTGGTGAAACATAACACCCCTCCAACGCTGATTTTGGGCAAAAAGATGCAGATCTATTTTGCAGTGAACAGGAAAGGAGCAGAGAAATCCAGCTCTCACAGTGTAACAGTAGAAGGCATGACTGAGATAATAACTGCGAAGAAAAGCAAGGTGGGATCCTGTTGCTGGGGAAAAACAGTTCTCAGCAGGGAAAAGCCAATGCATTCAGGATCAGATTCTCAGCCACACATCCTGCTGAGAAGCAGCAGCTCAGGGTAAAGTGTTAAATTACCTGCTAAGGACAAATCAATCCTAAAAGCCCAGCGATTATTCAGAGGCCATTTAGAGACAAGTGTCTGCTCTGCTCCTGGAGGAGTCTGATGCCTGAAAGTCTCCTGAGCATCACAGGATGAAAAGCAGCAGCTACACAAATCCCAGGGTGGCTGCTGGCTCAGACAAGATGCTGTCTGCAGGTTCTCAGGGAACACTGATTGAGCAGAGCTGGTGCCAGGTGAAACTGGAGACAGAGGCTGCGAGCTGACACCCCCAGGCTGCTCTGACACCACAGCTGCTGCTGCAACAGCTGGGAAATGCCAGTTCTGCAGCTCCCAGAACCAACATCCAGCATCCTGCCCACTACTGGGGAGCACCCAGAGCACTTTATACCTTCAGCAAGTGTCCCCAGCCCTCCTCCAGCTCCTCTTTTGGCCCAGCTGTGACAGCCCAGGTTCCCCCAACACTCACAGCCACCCCTGACCCCGAGGGCAGAGGTTTCTGATCAGGGGATTCCCACACTCACCTCTGCTGGCTGCTGATGCTGAGATGCCACCACCAGGAGAGCCCTCTCGCTCATCAAGCCTGCATGGACCATCTCAGCCTAAGGACAGACACAAACATGAGGGAGATTAACAGATCATCCCATCCCTGAGGAACCAGCCACACTGACCTCCAAGCACATTCCTGGAGAAACCCACCCCCAGAGGAACCTCACCAGAGCGTCACAGCTCGGGGCTGGGCAGTTTTCAGGCCTCCTGAAGGCCTGCACCAAGCTCTGCACACAGCCAGGCACTTCAGGATTTCCAGGAGGAGGTTTGATTCATCCTGAGTGTGTAGGTGGCAACCCGGAGGTTATCTGGGCATCTGCTTTGAATGCTCAGGGATTCTAAAGATCCTGGGATACAGAGCTAGAGGAATGCAGACTCTGACAGCAAACTTGGCCCTTCCAGCCCTAGGGACAGGCAGCACCTCCAGAGCAGAGGGGGAGCAGGGGGAGAACAGAGGGAGAGCAGAGGGAGAGCAGAGGGGGAACAGAGGGGGAGCAGAGGGGGAGC